CCAAGATAGCTAAATTAAACTACAAAATAAAGGCAGCTGAATGAGATTTGGGATGGGATAGGGAACATACCATGAAAGCTTTAGCTACTGTCATGTTGTCAGCTACATAAATTAAAGCTATAGAACCCTATGTCATAGCTGCTAGATTCTGTGTTCCTAAACAAAGTAACATACCATTCTGGGCTGCCTGGATAATTAATATAAGGATTTGGCTGCTCAGGAGTGCACATCTGGTTTGGCTAGGAGATCTCCTCTGACAGACAAGAGAACAGGCTGTTAGCCAACTTCACAGGAAATGATGGCCAGTGAGGAGCTGGGTTTTCTCCCTCCCCCCCTCCCCCTTTAAAAGGCAAGATGGATAAAGGGTAGTTTTATTCTTTACCAGGGTGATTGACAAGAATTACCTGGGAGGACGGAAGAAGGATATGGAGCCTTTAAATGCAGGACGTCCTTCTTGAGTAAAGAAGGAGGCCAGCTCTAAATGGACCCAGGGCAGGGCGGGGCAGGGCAGTAGAGTTCAAACCAATGACTGGAGAGGTGAGAACAGGCATTGTGGGAAATCTCCTGGAGGCCAATCGCAGCGCTATAATCGACTAGGGCGTACACTGGCACCACGACGCTGTACCCCCGGCGCAGAAAGATCTACGCCTCTCGTCAGGGTGGTTTTTTTACAGCGCTGCAACTGCGCAGTTTCTGTTCACTTAGTGGCTTGGTAGTGTGTACACCTTGGGAGTTACAGCACAGAAAGCTGCTTTACTGCACAGAAACTTGCCAGTGCAGACAGGCCATGAGGAAAGGGAGAAGGCGATTGGACCATTCCCCAGTTCCTCCTGGCAGTTGCATATACACTTTACAGTGCACATGAATTGGGGTTATCATGGTATGTCTGCACTGCAATCAGAAGTGTGACTGTCGCACATGTAGTCATACCTGATCTAGCTAGCTCATACAATAACAGCGGTGAAGCTGTGACTGCATGCGTATGTAATCAAGTGACTAACCCAGACTATTCGAGGTATAGCAAGATCAAAGCTATCCTGCATATTTCTATCCAGGGCCAGCTTTAGGAAGTGCGGGGCCCAATTCGAACATTTTCGGTGGGGCTCCGGCAGCGATGACTTAAAAAAAAAAAAAAAAAAATGTAAAAAAAAACCCTTTCATTTCTTCCATGTATTATTTACTTTCCATAACTATATAAATAATAAAATTATATATTACGTACATTGCTGGCTGGAGGCAGGGCAGGGGCTGACTGGAGGTAGGGTCTGGCTGGAGGCAGGGCAAGGGGTGCAGGGCTGGCTGCGGGCAGGGCAGGGGGTGCGGGGCTGGCTGGAGATGGGCTGACTGCAGGCAGGCGGGTGTGGGACTGGCTGCAGGCAGGCGGGTGTGGGACTGGCTGCAGGCAGGCGGGTGTGGGGCTGGCTGCAGGCAGGCGGGTGTGGGGCTGGCTGGAGACGGGCTGGTGCAGGCAAGGCAGGGGGTGCGGGGCTGGAGGCAGGGCAGGGGGTGCAGCAGGGGCTGGTTGTGGGCAGGGGGTGCGGGGCTGGCTGGAGACGGGCTGGTTGCAGGGCAGGGGTGCGGGGCTGGTTGCAGGGCAGGGGTGCGGGGCTGGTGCGGGCAGGGGGTGCAGCAGGGGCTGGCTGCGGGCAGGGGGTGTGGGGCTGGCTGCGGGCAGCGGGTGCAGCAGGGGCTGGCTGCGGGCAGGGCAGGGGCTCCCCTGCTTCTACCGCCCCGGCTCTTTAAATAGCTGCTGGAGCCCTGGGGAAGCAGCGGGGCTCCCACGGCTATTTAAAGGACCGGGGCGGCAGTGGCGGCTGGAGCCCCCAGCCCTTTAAATAGCGCCCGGAGTCCCCCGCTACCCCAGGGCTCCAGCAGCTATTTAAAGGGCCCTGGGCTCCCCTGCTTCTACCGCCCCAGCCCTTTAAATAGCAGAGGGAGCTCTGGGGAAGCGGCGGGGCTCCAGCGGCTATTTAAAGGGCCGGGGCTGTAGAAGCAATGGGAGCCCCGGACTTTTTAAATAGCCTCCAGAGCCCCGCAGCCCTACCCCAGGGCTCCAGCAGTGGGGCTCTGGTGGCAATTTAAAAGGCCTGGGGCTCCAGCCCCTGCTGGGAGCCCCAGGCCCTTTAAATTGTCCCCTGGGGAAGCCGGGCCGCCCCGGTACAGCATACCGGCGGCGGCAAGGGCGCGGGGCCCTCTTAGGCGCGGGGCCCGATTCAGGGGAATTGGATGAATCGGCTTATACATGCTAGAGTTACTCCTCTGATTTCAGTGGAGTCAGAGACTGAATGGATAAAGAGATCGAACTAATCCCCTAGATGTGATCTTGAGGCAGATGGGGCAGTGTGAAAGTTTACCTTTCTGCTTCCCCATGTTGTACCTGTTTTGTGGCTAGATATAGCTTTTGTCGGAGGCATCTGCTTGATAGATTTCCTGAGTGCAAAATTACATGCCTGAGCTGTTCTTTCCCACAGCTGAAAATACACTGATGGAAACTTGCAGCCATCTTCAAACATCCCACCTCCCCAAGTAGTCTGGGTGTGTACGAAATACATCTCTCTTACAATCTGAGTTATATTCTGATGTTTTGTGGAACGGACATAGGTAATTAAGATCTCAATATTAAATACCTTTTCAGTTTCATATACTGTTACTAAATGTCTTAATTATATCCGTTGTTGAGTTTTAATATTGTATTTCATAAATAAGCCTGGGAATTTTGGAGAAAATTGATCAATAGTTAATTATAAATGTACCATGTTTAATGGTAAACTACTGAAGTATACAATTTTAATCTTAAGCATTACTTTTAGTAAGTGCTCAGCATCTCTTAGTTAATAAATAGTTCTTGGCCCTGTACTTCAAATGTCTATTAGGTTTGTTTGTAGCCTTTATATCTTTCTCCCTTGAGTATATTTTTGGATATTTTTTTGTTAAATACAATAGGGACTCTAGAGCCAGATAAGTAAATCATAACTTTGCATGCAAAAGAGAACACTGAGAGGGGACATAACAGTTTTCAAGTACATAAAAGATTGTAACAAGGAGGAGGGAGAAAAATTGTTCTTAACCGCTGACGATAGGGCAAGAAGCAATGGGCTTAAATTGCAGCAAGGGAGGTTTAGGTTGGACATCAGGAAAAACTTCCTAACTGTCAGGGTGGTTAAGCACTGGAATAAATTGCCTAGGGACGTTGTGCAATCTCCATCATTGGAGAATTTTAAGAGCAGGTTAGACAAACACCTGTCAGGGATGGTCTAGAAGATAATACTTAGTTCTTCCATGAGGGCAGGGGACTCGACTAGATGACCTCTCGAAGTCCCTTCCAGTCCTATGATTCTATGCAGATTGTATCTGAAGAGGTTTGACCTATTCTGGCAACGAAGTTGCTTATTCCTATAGGTACTGTAATTGTATTTTTGATTTTATCTGCTGCAGTTTATAAATCTTTACAGGAAGAATATTATCAGAACTTCTAGTGCTACAGGTTTCTTAAATTCCTACATATGAATTTCTCAGTTTTTATCTCAATGTTCTCATCTGTATCTTATAGTAACTGAGCTTTACCCAAGTAGACTGGATTTATACCATTTTCAGCAGTCTTACACTGGCAGATATGGAAAACGTTTTAGGAAAAAGCATTTGTCAGTCTTGAAGTCTTTGCTATTTGGTCAAATCTTACTGGCTCTTTGTGCCTTTTTTTTTTTTAAGAGGCAGTTGAAACTAGCAGAAGTCCAGTTTTGTAAAATTAAATTTCTTTAATATAAAATGAAAATACTGTGTATGAATGGAAGTGAAATACAGCCCCTGAATATATTAAAATCTTCCAAATAGGGGCCCAGTTCTCAGGAAAAGTTAATTATAACAGAATTTCTGTAGAAAACATCTGTATGATGGGTTTGTCCCTATTTCTTTGCAAGTAATAGCACACCTTCCTGTCCGTTGCCCCCTCATAACTTAGCCACCTTCAACAAGGAGAGGAAAGCATGATTTGGTAATTGGATAAAGTAGTCTTATCGGGACTTCTGGGTCCATCAGGTCGTCATTGTGGAACTGCACCACGCTGTGATCTAGGTCAAAGCATTTTGCTGAACTCTCTATGCCTCAGCTGGCCTATTTTTATATGGTTGATTTACCTTATGGGAGATGATATGAGGCTCAGTGTTTAAAGAGAGAGAACCTCAAATGATAGGCATGCTTAATTTTACCCTTTCCTTTCCTCTTTGTCACCCACTTCCTTATCTGAGCATTTAATTGACTCTTTTCTGGAAACCATTTCACTTCCATTCTGTATCTTGTAAGATTATTTATAAAGATGCTGTTTCTTCACCGGTAAGAATCAATATTTCTGAGATGAAGATGAATTTAAGAGTGAGTTGTGAAATTTTGGTCATCTGCCCCCAAAAATCATCTAGACCAAAGCAATGATAAAAGTTTAAATGCATAAAATTACTGAACAAAAAGTAAACCCTCACAAATATCACTATAACAGAATCATTATCTGTCTTGAAATAAACTGTAAACCTCTTTTCTGCTCATGAAGTAAGATTTCACTAAAGTGCTGCATGTGTGTAGGGGTCTATCCGCATGTAATGATTTGTGAGGTTGGGGCATATAGTTGTAACAGCATCCCTGCTAGTGGTTTTAGGCCTTTCGGGCACCAAGCAATACTTGGATTTAAGCTTAATGGCAAATAAATATTTCCACTACCAGATCAATCTATTCTCTGGGCTGAAGGGCGCAACTTGATATTTTGTACCTTTTCTCCATAGATTGAGAATGAATACGTTTCTCAGACTACTAGATGGTTTCAGAAAAACATATGCGCTAGAGAAAATATCAAACCACTTTTTAACTACACATGAAGTATCTCATTTAATAAACTAATAAATAAGAAAAATTTTGAATAGGGACTCAACACTCTGAGGTTGAAAGGTTCTCCCAAAATGTGCATTTGTTCTTCTTTACATTCATTTACAGAAATTCAGAGATCTCCCAAGACCAAATAATCCTCCTTCATTGTCTTTTGAAAGTCATGTCTACTTTGTGGGGTAACATGCCTTACAGCGGTGTGACTGCTAAAGCACGGTAAAGTATTGCGTATTAATTGGTTTGTGTACAAGTGACTGGTGTGCACTAAAAATTCTCCAGGGAAGAATCCTTCTGTTGATGTAGCTGTGCCTAATTTAGGGGTTAGGTAGACTTAACCACGGCATGCAGGGCATAACATTTTTCACAGCCCTGAGCAATGTGGCTAGGTCGATCTAATTTTTAACTGTAGATGAGGCCTGAGATAAGGTTTCTGCAGTTTTAGATTTCCTTCCCTAAACTCTTCTCTCATTGTTTGTGGGCTGTTTTGTTAAAAATAACTATATTTTTATAACCTATAACTATATAGGTTCTGGTTAAATTTAGTTCTCCATTTCTTTTAAATTTAAAAGATAACTTTTCTTCTTGATTGCAACCTTCTGTGCTACAACAAATTAATGTCCTATTTTTCCTTCATAAAAGAAAGGACATAATCTACCTTACTAAATACTAATAATTAAGAGTTTGTTAGGTTAAAATCTTCAATTATGATCAAACATCTAGATCGGGGTAGGCAAACTTTTTGGCCTGAGGGCCAGATCTGGGTATGGAAATTGTATGGTGGGCCATGAATGCTCATGAAAGTGGGGGTTGGGGTGCGGCTGGGGGTGCGGGCTCTGGGACAGAGGGGTTCGGAGGGCAGGAGGGGGATCAGGGCTGGGGCAGGGGCGCGGGAGGGGGATCAGGGGAGCAGGCTCCAGGTGGTGCTTATCTCAAGCAGCTCCCAGAAGCAGCGGCATGTCCCCTCTACGGCTCCTATGCAGAGGCGTGGCCAGGCAGCTCTGCGCACTGCCTTATCCGCAGGGGCTGCCCCTTTAGCTCCCATTGGCTGCGGTTTCCAGCCAATGGGAGCTGTGGGGGTGGCGCTTGGGGTCGGGGCAGCGTGTGGAGCACCCTGGCTGCTCCTATGGGTAGGAGCTAAAGGGGGAACATGCTGCTGCTTCCAGGAGCCGCGCAGAGCAGGGCAAGCCCCCAACCGCACTCCCTGCCTGCAGCGCTGGAGTGGGGCAAGCCCCAGATCCCGCCCCCTGGCGGAAGCTCAAGGGACGGATTAAAATGTCTGGAGGCCCGGATGCAGCCCGGGCCGTAGTTTTCCCACCCCTGATCTAGATCTTGGGTCTATAGGTTTTAGACATCCAGGGTGAAGAACAAATTTCTAGCAAGAAGTTCAACTCGGCTTGTCTACACCAGGGGTTCTCAACCTTTTTCTTTCTGAGGCCCCCCCAACATGCTATAAAAATTCCATGGCCCACCGATGCCATATAAAAGCCAGAGCCAGCGTTAGAGGGTAGCAAGCAAGATAGCTGCCTGGGGCCCCAAACCACAGGCAGGCCAGCAAAGCCATATTGCTCAGGCTTCAACTTCAGCCCCAGGTGGCAAGGCTCAGGGCCCTGGGCTTCAGGCCTGCACAGCAGTGCTTCAACTTTCTGCCCTGGGCTCGAGCAAGTCTCACATTGTCCCTGCTTGGTGGACCTCCTGAAACCTGCTTGCAGCCCCCCTAGGGGGTCTGGACCCCTGGTTGAGAACTGCTGGTCTACACTACAAAATTTAGGTCAATTTAATTTAGGTTGACTACAACCATTGAAGTAATTCAATAGGTTGTTGGTGTCCACACTACCCTCCTCCTGCCGGTGGAACACGTCCTCACCAGGAGTGCTTGCACCCCTGCAGTGGGGCATTTTGGAGCACTGACAGCCACACGGGCTCACAGCTGGAGCCCCCCATCTGCTCAATTTCACAGCACAGAGTCTACCAGTAGTGAAATTAATGTTCTTGTCAACTTTATGCTGCTATTGTCTCCGCTCAGAGCAGCTGCACTCTGACAGCTCTGGGATGCTTAAAATTGTTGATTGGCTCTAGTTTTCAGGATATGCTATTGGGTCAGTATATACGACCCTTGACTTGGGAATGGCGGAGGATAAGTGAGTTATAAAGGGAAGGGATCTCAATTTAAACCAGAAATGACTAAAATACATCTTTGACTGGATCTATGAATAAATCTATGACTGGGTTTGGACAGTACTTGCTTTTTAGGCAAAACAATGAATGATGCAATCTGAAGCTGGTATTGCTTCATCCATGATATGAATTGCATCATGTTATTCCTAGAAGTCATGGATGATGCAATCATAACGAAGCTTACATCACTCTGCTGAACAAATTGCCCTATATCAGCTCTAGAAATCATACAGTGTCGTGCTCTCTTATTTGTCAGTGTTTGATTTTGCAAAGGGACACATTTCTGTTTAGCCAAAGTGAGCAGAGATGCCTCGTACTTGTGTGAACAGTGCAGATAACTTCTGCTATGTTTGTGGTGAAGTGACTTTTGCATCACAAAAGCGCAGTATAACCACTATGGTTAAGAAAGACTATCACCTTTATTTTGGCTGCAAAATTGGAGATCAGGACAAGAGGTGGGCCCCACACATATGCTGCAACACTTGTGCAACAAATCTTTGCCAGTGGTTGAACAGGAAAAGGAAATCTATGCCTTTTGCAGTGCCAATGATTTGGAGAGAGCCAACCGATCATACCAGCAATTGTTACTTCTGCATGGTGCCTCCAGTTGGGAAAGGTGTGTCAAAGAAGAAAAAGTGGACTGTGCATTATCGAAACATTCCATCAGCTATACGCCCAGTACCCCACGGAGAAGGACTGCCGGTTCCTGATGCACCAGAATCATTCTCGCTTGAGTCAGACGAGGAAGAGGAAGAGGATGAAACTTCTGGTCCTGAACCATCAATGTCACAGGATCCACATTTTCTCCCATCCTCCTCCTCTGAACCCCACCTCATAACACAAGGTGAACTGAATGACCTTGTCAGGGATTTGGAACTACCCAAGAGTAAGGCAGAGCTGTTGGGCTCCAGACTACAGCAGTGGAATCTCCTGGCAGGTGATGTTAGGGTTTCCATGTTCCGTGACCGTCAAAAGGATCTTGTCCCATTCTTCTTCATGGAAGGTGATCTTGTAGCCTGCATCAACATCGATGGTGCGATGGCAGCCCTCAACATCGTTCACGATCCAGATGAGTGGAGACTGTTCATTGATTCATCGAAGACGAGTCTTAAAGCTGTTTTACTGCATAATGGCAATTTTTGCCATCAATTCCAGTTGGTCATGCAGTCCATCTGAAGGAAACCTATGACAACATGAAACAACTTTTGAGGTGCATAAACTATGACCAACATCAGTGGCAGCTTTGTGGCGATTTGAAGGTTGTTGATCTCTTGCTTGGTCTGCAGACTGGATACACAAAGTACTGCTGTTTTCTCTGCGAATGGGATAGTCGTGCAAGAGATTCCCACTACATCAAGAAAGATTGGCCACTCCAACAGTCATTGGAGCCTGGGAGGAAAAGTGTTCAGCATCCACCACTTGTTGAATCAAGGAAGATTTTGTTACCACCCTTACACATCAAGCTGGGTCTGATGAAGAACTTGGTCAAGGCCATTGACAAAACACAAGCAGCTTTCAAGTACCTCCGTGGAAAATTTCCAAGGTTAAGTGAAGCTAAGATAAAGGAAGGTGTCTTTGTTGGTCCTCAGATTTGTGAACTTCTTCGAGATGATTCATTCGACCATGCACTGCGTGGCAAGGAAAAGACGGCATGGAAAGCCTTCTAGTTAGTGGCAATAAATTTTCTCGGAAACAACAAGGCAGACAACTACAGGTTGTTGGTGGAAAACCTCCTCAAGGCATACAAAAGCCTTGGTTGCAACATGTCATTAAAGATACATTTTTTGCACTCTCATCTAGATTTTTTTCCACCGAACTGCGGAGCAGTGAGCGACGAGCACGGCGAGCGATTTCACCAGGACATTGCAACAATGGAGAAACGCTATCAGGGCAAATGGAGCCCATCAATGCTTGCAGACTATTGCTGGACAGTGACAAGAGATGCTCCATTTAATGAATACAAGAGACAAGCCAAGAAGCGCCAAGTAGACATTGAATAGGACTAAACTATGTACAGAATAGTTTTTTGCCTTTTGTTTCATAATAAATTTTATTTATATAACCCTTTTGCTGATTTTTAAAGTGTTACATAAACAGGACAGGTGAAATATTATCATGTAAAGCAACCATAAACACATGAAAAGACCTAGGTTTACAATTTATGATTAAAACTCTACTATGTACACAATATACATAGACATAAAATGTAAAAACTTAAATATCTTAGAAACAGTAGCCAATCAGTTGTTTTAATTGTCATATTTGAATTCAGCACATCAAAATACATAATAAATAGCACATTTTATCTCTGAAGCAGACGACTTCTCAAAAATTGTAGACCAGTGTTATCTTTGTAGTGTAGACCAAGCTTCATTAAGTTGAGGCTAATACCATTTTAATATTCCTTGTCCTGGTCTATAGTAGTTTTTTTGTATTTTTTTACAATGATACTGGCTGTTTGTCTTTTCAAAGTACAGTGGTTGTGGTTTGTGGAATTTGTTAGTGGTGAAACATCCTGCTTTTTGTAGCCTCGGTCAAAGTTTTCAGAGCCTTTTTGACTATTTAAATGCAAGCATCTTTTAGCACCTTACACCACTCTGTATACACTTTCTAATATAAATAAACCACAGTCAAACTTGAATTGGAGGATGTAGAAAGTGACCCAAAGCGATTAGAGACGTTGGGGCTGCTGCAGGCAGTGAAGAGATTTTTGTCCCATTAAATCTGACATCCCGGAAGAGAAAATAAGCATACACATTGCAATAAAGCAAGTTTATTTTTTATCTTCTTCTTATCCTAAGGGCTTCCAGTAATTAAACAGTAAAATTACTGGAGTGGATCTGGATTCATGGTTAGGAGGGAGTCTGTTTCAGGTGGTCCACTGTAGGAGAATAGGAACTGGTAGGATAAGCATTCTTCTGGCAATTCTTGAACAACAAATTAGAATCCTGTAAAACACAAACTTCTTATTAAACACTCTGTGCTGCCAGTGTCCTGTATGGGATTTTAAAGTGATCACACACTATTTCCCTGAGAAGTGC